GATCTGCTGTGTTTTTTTATTTAATTAATTTAATTAAAAATATCAGTATTATATAAATAAAAGCCATATTTTTAAAAATGACTATTTTACATTTTTTGCTTAGTTGAATTAGCCATTTATAGACATTAACTTATAGTACGATAAATTCAAAAAATAGACTTTTAGTATATTTGTTATTGTCTTTCTTATAAATTTTATTTTTGTAAAATATGCTAAAAATAAAATACTAAAATATGCAGATACTTAAAAATATCACTAAAAATGTCTTAATAAAGTGATTTTAATATAAAATTCAAAGTCTATATAAAGTTTATTTTATTATTTTAGTATACTTCTTTTTAGATTATTTGTTTTTTAAACTCATTTAATAAAAATAGAAATAAAAATTATACAAGTCGCCATTTTACATTTGACAAAAACTTACATTTTCATATTTAAAGTTTTATAAATAAATAAATAAATAAACCTTTCGCAAATTCACTTTTAATTTTTTTTCAAAGAAAAATAACAGAAGAAGCAAAAAGTAGAAATAACTTTAAATGGCAAAAATACAAAATATTACAAAAGCTGCAAGTTAGTTATATAATCTATCGTTAAGTTCAATTTTCATATGAACTTTTATTTACTTTTTATAATTAGATAGTTCTAGAAGAGGTAGCCGTAATCGTAAACGAAGTGGTAGTAATTTAGAAATAGCTTCTACGGAGACTAATATTATCACGCTTATTACTCCTAACGATGAATCTGGTTCTGGTAAATTATTATTTAATCACTTAACGTTAATAATTGTTCATAGAAATAAAATATTAATATTAGATTTAAAAGGTCGTGGAAGAGGTGGCTGTGGGAGAAGTGGTTGTGGAAGAGGTAGCCGTAGTCAAAAAAAAAAAAAAAGCTATTTTTATTCAATAAATTAACAAATCATATTATAATTGTTAATTGCTTTTTGATCACCTTCATTATCTGATGAATATATCTTCTTTAAGATCTATTATTATATTATGGCTTATTTAACTTAAATAATTATGTCTGAAGCTTCTACTATCCTCACTTCTCCTAATAAAAGTCACGAAAAGAAAAAGCAAGCCATAAAACTGAATTCAACTTTACAAATTCCAATTACTCTAAGTAATT